GGCGATGCTATTTTTTTCTCTCCTCGTCCGATTCCTGTACGCGAGGAATGGAATTGGCTTAAGCCGAAGGGGACACGCCACCAAACTGGAGCCGGATCGGACAGAAAGGGGAATCAAACCTCCCCAAATACCACATCGTTGCATACATACATACATACATACAATTATATCGATATACAGAAAGCTTCGCACATGCATGTACAGAACACAAGCTCGATGCTCGCTCGCACACCCACCACAGAGGAACCCGAGAGAGAGAGAGCTCTTTTACCCTTTGACAGAGAATCCGCTAAGCGGCTCGGGTTCTTCTTCTCCCTCGACCAGCCAAAAACACCATTTTCGTCTTTTCAGAGGGTGCCGGTTTTGGTCCAGAAGAAGTGCCTAACGGAACGCAATCTAGGCACGGAGAAAGGAGATACATACAAAGTTACATTCGTCGCTCTCCTCTTTCTCATTCCCCCTCCCCACGTGAGATGCGAAGCTTCGTCCTTCCTTTGTCAAGAGTTTTACAGAAGGGTTTTTTTTTTGGTGTGGGTGTGTTGGAAGGAGGGGGCACATGGGTGTTGTGTTTTGTTTCCCCCTCGCCTCCCGCGCCCAGGAAACTTCTCCTTTCTAAAATCCCTTTCACTTTCCGTCCTCCCCCCCCCGCCCGCCTCCCCGCTCGCCTTTCCCAACCTGAATCCTCCATCATCCCCCACCGTCACTTCTGTAGGAGTCGAAACTCCTCCGCGGCGGCGGCGCCTTTCTTACGACGGTTCTGGCGGCTGTCTAAGCGGATTTCGGAGGCTTTTCCCCTTGACGGGAGCGTGGGCAAAGAAAGGGAAAGGGAGAGCATCATGAGAAGCTCAAGAAACGAGCGTTGCAGGGAAAGTTGCAGACTTAGTCAAAACTCCCTCCCACAGCCTGGAGTATTTCTTTAAAATATATATATATATCCAGAAAAGAATGAAAGCGCTCCTTGGAGGTACTATTAACAGCCCAGACTCTGGGATTTCTTTCTCTCCTTTTTCTCTCCTTGTTTACAGCTACAGAAGGCAAAAGAGCCATAAATCTTCAGGCAGCCTACAGAGACAAGTGCATTTGTATGCATCGTTAGAACTAGCTAATACCTAAACCCATTAGCAAGGCATGTAGAATTCTAGTTTCCGGTGTCCATTAACTTACAGTTAAATTCTAGAGGAAAGGGCATGGCGATTAACATAAACTATATCCATCATATTGTTTGTCATAATAGATTAGTCAACTGTGGATGTGTGTGTGCGAGAGAGAGAGAGGAAGAGGGTGCGGATGTGTGAAACTTTGTTCGTCCAACCGCGCTGATTTCCAAAGAGGGAATAGGCGAGATGAATATATATCTCGCCTATTCCCTCTTCGGAAACACACACACACACACACATCCATATCGCCCACACCTCCTCCTGCCTTCGAGAACCACTGCACCGAGAGGATGCACGCGCGCGCGTCACACGATTGTCCTGATAGAAGGAAGGTAGATGGGATGCCCTTCTCGTTGGGCCTGATTGGGGTGTCCTGATAGAAGGAAGGTAGATGGGATACCCTTCTCGTTGGGCCTGATTGGGGACGAAGGAAGGAAGGAAGCGAGCAAGGCTGTTCCTAAACCATAACCCGAATAAAACGATTCCGCAGCTCAGTACGTGTTCCGTTGGGAGGCGACTCCACTGGATTTCCTGGGGGTGATTCCCAAGTTAAATCAAGGATTTCAAAGAGAAGAACCGCACTGGTATATCACAACGCCATACTGTACAAAGTTACTTCCTCCGTTCCTATCTGT